GACTTGGGATTAATTTTTCCTATTTCTCTGGAAACAAGTCTCATATTTTTAGAAAGATTATTTTTAGAAAGTTTTGTACTTTCTTGCCTAATTTTTGTGCAGATTTAATATTTAATTTTTTATTATATTTGGATATAATCTACATTAATGAATATACTTAAATTCTTGTAGGTCAAGAAAGGGGCACATAGGAAATCCAATGGTGCAAGATTTTTTTTGGGATTTAAGAACAATCCAATGGCTAATATCAAGTGGGCCAATTAATTATTAATGGGCTTGAGCTTTAGATTTATAAAAATTTCCTTTTCTTCCATCAAAATATTTTTCTTATCTGAGAGGACAATTCAACACCATATATCATATATATATCCCCTCATATATTTGATTCATTGGACGGTGACAAGAGAACAAAACGTCTTTGACTTCCGAGCTACTATTATCCCATATATTCATCATCAATCCATCCGCACCCACCAATATCAATCATTCCTCTCCTTTCTCATTGCACGGCCAAACTCCCATTTACATCTTATCATTCATGGCTATGGCATCTAATAACCTTGGAGGAGGAGACATTTTGATAGAAGCTTAAGCTTCTTTGGAAGGCAACTTGGAAGGAGCATGGAAAAGACTTGAGCCTTGGGCTAGCACTTGAAGACCACAAGGGAGTGATGTTCCATTTATCTTTTTAATTCAAGGACTTAAAATTATTTAGTTTTAAATGATTTTAAGTTGTATTTTTATTGAGACAATTTAGTTTTAGATTGTCAATTTTATTCTTGGATTGAATTGATATTTGGATTTTATTTGTGTTGAGATACTTGTTGGAATTTATGTTTAGAACCTTTGCATTGCTAATTGAATTTATAATTGAGTTTTCATTATGAGTTTAATTATCAATGTGGTTTGAATTGCAAAATTTGGGTTCTTTTGCCTCTTAATTGTTTAATTAAGTTGGTTAATTGTCTAATTGTTTAATTGGATAATTTCAAACATAATTTCCAAAATTAATTGAGTTATTTTTCATTGGTTTTAATAAGCTTAATCAACCAACCTTATACTGTTATGAGTTCTCTAATAGTTTAAGGGTTTTTGAAATTGAGGGTTCCCTTTGTTTCAAGTAGGTAATTAAGTTTATTAATTTCACTCTCTTATCACTTTCCTTTGGTCTAATCAACTGATTAAGGTTATGAAGGTTAAATCCATGCAAATCCTAAGTTGTCCCTTTTACCTTACCTGAAGAGAACTTCTCAATTTTCACTTCTTAATTTTTTTTGCTTTCTGATTAATTTTCTTTATTCATTATCTTTATTTTCCTTTAAAAAACCCCCCCAAAAATTGCATTGCATTCATTTAGTTTAATTTAATTTTCATACATATTTTAGGGCATTTGCATCTTGCATTTAGAATTAGAATTTTGCATTTTAGTTTAGGTCCAATTTATTTTATTTTTTTTATCACCTAAATTTTTACCTAAAGAAACCCATAAATTGCTCCTTGGAAGTAATGACCTAGGTCGATCCTAAACTACAAATCAATTAGGACCTAGTTTAATTGAGTGCTTTAACGACATAAGCATCATCAATTTTCATTGAGTGCTGACTCCACTGTATTTTGTAGACACATAATCCTGCTGCTGACTCTACTCTCGGCGAGCAGATGTGAACACTGAACAGGAGCCAATGAAAATTGAAGATGGAACCCAGGAGCATTCTGCTGGTAAGAACAAAGACAAGAGAGAGAAGAAGAAAGGGAAGGAGAAGAACGAAGAGGATGCAGATGCAGTTCAGGATCATGACAATGGAGTCGAGGGAAAGGAAAAGAAGAAGAAAAGGAAGGAATCTAGTGAGAATGGTGAGTTGAATGGAGACAATGATGCGGATGTGGGAGAAAAGAAGAAAAAGAGGAAAAAGCATGCTGAGCAAGAAGAATCAGCCGAAATGGCCAAGAAAAAGAAAAACAAAAAGAAGAAAGTAGAGGATTAATAGAGATTGAATTTGTTGTTATCAGCTAATTCATCTTGCTGGTAACAATCAGTTTTGCATTTCTCAGGCTACTCGGTGCTAAAATTTTATATAAATATCCTCATGTCTAATTGTTTGTTTTCTCTTCTAATGGGGTATGTTGTGTTCAGGAAATTTTGATGCTGTGATATTTGTGCATTAAAGATGCTCCTGGTTCTAAACTTTTTTCAATTCTCGTTCATACTCACGGCGCATTCTTTTGCTAACATGTTGAGCATGTAACTTTTCATTCATTTTGATGCAATATATTACTTAGGTGATCTGTCTTCTAATCTATGCCATGCGTGCTTCGGAATGTTCATGGAAAGTTGACGTTTTTGCGCAAGTTTACATATGAATGATGGTTTATTTTTTGGGGACAGTTCACATAAAAGTTCACATGAACGTGTGTGTAAATGACTTGTGTTAATACAAGCGGACAAATATACTCTATTGTTAATAAATGATACTGCAACATGTGCACATATGTATGCGTATAATTATATTTAAGTCGTGTGCGAGTGTCTATATTTGTAGCTTTACTCGTTAGCGTTGGTCTACGTACCTCAAGAACACCCACGTAAATTTTAACTCAATGGAAACTTATTCATGAATAGCAATGTGATAGAAACAAGATTGGATTGGCTACTTGGACAGGTGATTTTTTATGAACTAGCAAATCGGTGACCGATCCGTTTTGGTTGACTGCAAAACTGAGAATGTAATTATATTGGTAAAAAATGGTCAACATGGTCTTGATAAATTCCGATGGTCCAAAAACCAAAGCTGAAAATGGAGGAAGAGGGGGTGGCTACATGTGAAAGAAGGTGATGCTTAGCGTTATAAGCGCAAAGCGTACAAGAAGATATGATAAGGGGAGAAAAAACAAGGGAAAAGGATGGGCCTAGAATGCCAAAAAGGAAGAAGAAAATGTACTTTGAACGTGGAAAGGAAAAAAATGGAAGACCACGGCGGAGACAAGAAGCAAAGTTGGAGAAAGGAGAGAAGATGAAGGAGAGATGGGATGGAAATTAAAAAGATGAGTTCTGATATGATTACCAGCTTATTTCTGTTTTCTGTTCTTTTTGTTTCCATATCACCAAGTTCCCCCTCCTTCCTTTGACGGGGTTCTCCCTGATGCCAATTTGAGTCCCATTCCCCGTTGCTGGAAAGGAGTTTGCCAGACGGGGGCGAGTTCCACTGGTCCGTTGAACCCATCAACGGGACTGTTTTACGAAAACAAAAATGAAAATTTCATTGTCGATCTTATCTGATGATGTGATTTATCTTTGTCCCACCCCTTTCTTTTTGGGTTTGCTTTTGACTATTGTGCACTTTGTTTTCATATATACGCGTTACGGAGGGCCAGGCCATCACATGAAAAAGGAAATGCGACGAACGTTCGTGGAAGCCTGCTCTTGGAAACTATGCAAGACTAAGGGACGGTTACATTAATACAAACCCTACAAGTTGAACTTTCATTTCGGTCTTCACAAACTTGCGAGACTACTGGATCATGGCGAAGAGATGGAGTTATGACGTGTTTCTTAGCTTTTAAGGGGAACATACTCGCTTGAATTTTATCGGTCATCTCTACGAGTCTCTTCATCAAAGCGGGATTCGTGTCTTAGCGTTAAAAGCCTAAAGTGTAGAAGAAGAAATATATAATAAGGAAAAAACAAGGAAAAGGATGGGCCTAAAATACCAAAAAAGAAGAAGAAGAAAATGTACTTTGAGTGTGGAAGGAAGAAAATGAAAGTAACACGGCGTAGACAAGAAGCATAGAGTTGGTGGAGAAAGGAGAGAAGATGAAGGAGAGAGAGGATGGAAATTAAAAGATGACTTCATCACGGAACCTTTCTGATATTTGCATGCTTAGATAATTAATTTCCACACAAAATACTACTAATATGTAAATATTAAAAAAATTAGTTAAGTTATACTTTATAAAAAATATGTATTGATTTTTTTAAAATACTCATATAATTATTTGTATTGAAAAATACTTCTTATATTAATGAATAATCCTTAATATGTGTAAGGAGAGTTTGGAGAAAAAAATTATAAATTTAGAAAATAAACTAAATTGAAATATTATATTTAAGATTAATAAAAAAATTTATACTAATTTTTATATTTAAGATTGGAGGTAATATACAACTATTTATGTCCACGCAGTGTCCATCCCTATTTAAATTTTTTACGGTGAAATACAAATATAATGAGAGGGAGAAAGTAAAAAGATGTTAGGAAACAGGTCCTACAAGCAAATAAGCAAATGAATTAGGGAGGACTGCAACGAAATCCCAAGTAAAAATCATGATTACCAAGTCTTAATGACAATAAAATAAGTTATAATGACAAATTTTATAAGAGTAAATGATAATTTATTATTAAAACTTAGTGATAACTATTTTTTTAAAAATTAATCGTACAAATGAATTCTTAACAGCCTGTAATCCACTTGTTACCTTTTTGACCGGCTAGTAACAAAATGAAGCTACCAACTAATTAATAAAAGAAAATTTGAAATAATTGCACTGATATTTGTTCTTTTCTGCTTTGTTTCTAAAGGAACTGTCGTTTGGGTCACGCTTGACTGATCAGCACCGAAAGCATAGAGAGTTGTTGTCGACCAAATCAAATAATTTCATTACTTTAGCTCAACCAATTGTATCAAGGAAGCTCTGATGTGATTCAGCTTATTTTTATTTTCTCTTCTGTGTTTGCATCTCACCAAGTTCCCTCTCCTTCCCTTCCTGGTGTTCTCCCTCATTTCAATTCGAGTCCCATTCCCCCTTGCTGGAAAAGAGGTTTGCCAGGCAGGGCCGAGTTCCTCTGGTCCGTTGAAATTCATTGTCGATTTTATCTGATGAGATGAATTTGCCTTTCCCCTTTTTGGTTTTGCTTTTGACCATTGAGCACTCGTCTTTATATTATTTTCAGAGCGCCACCAAATGAAAAGGAAATGTGAAGATCCTTCGCGGAAGCCTGCTGTTGGCAACTTACATTAATATAAACCTACAAGTTCACAGATCCGTGAGATTACTGTATCATGGCGCAAGGAGCAGGATCTTCTTCCGTCACCCACCGATGGAGTTATGATGTGTTTTTAAGCTTTCGGGGAGAAGATACTCGCCTGACTTTCGTCGGTCATCTCTATGAGGCTCTTCGTCAAAGAGGGATTCGGACCTTCATTGATGATGAATCCCTTGATGCAGGCAAAGAAATCCGACCGTCTCTTTTTGAAGCCATCAAGGAATCCAGGATAGCCATCATAATTTTCTCCCAAAACTATGCAACCTCAACCTTCTGTCTGGATGAACTTGTCCAGATTATTGAGTGTTTCAAAGAAGAAAGTCGGCTGGTATATTCAGTGTTTTATCATGTGAATCCATCGGATGTGCGACGTCAGAGAGGGAATTACGGACAAGCTTTGGCTGATCTACAAAACAGATTGGAAGGAAACGATGAGAAGTTGCAGAAGTGGAGGTGGGCTTTGTCCCAAGCAGCTGACTTGTCAGGCTGGCATTTTCAACCTGGGTACCTGCTCCTCTCTTTCCTTAGTGTTACTTTTCATCCAAATTTTTACTCTTTCTATTCTTATTATAAGACTTTTTTTATAAGTTTATTAATTTTTTTAATAAAATTTTATGATAATTTAGTGTAATTATATGATGTTGAAATTTAGTGCAGTGAATGATGATAAAATCAGAAATCACTTAAATTTTATGATAAAATTAATATTTTAAACTATTTTTACGAGTACGTGTAAATTAATTAGTAATAAGTAAACTGTAAAGGAGGTTGGAAAACCCAAAAAAAAGGGTAAAAGAGGAAATGATCCATAAACAAGATTGAAAATATGAAACGCCCCGATGGGTAGCCTAATATATATATATATATATATATATATAATATTTTGAATGAAAACACAAATATATATAAATATATTTATGTATATAATTTAATATGTTATTATATATTTTAATTTAATTTTCGTATTGTGGTAAAATATTTTTAATAATTAATATTTTTATTCAAAAAATTAATAAAATAACAGATATATTATATATGTTATTATTTATTTGTTTTCATAATTTTTTTATTTTTTATTTTTTATGTAATATATTACTGAAAAAGTATATTTTAATTTTAACAAAAAGATATGGTGATATTGGGTACTCTCTAGAGGATTTGAAAGAATCCGCTTTATTCCCTTTCCATGGGATTTGCAGTTCTGCCGTGCTCACCAAGACCCATTGACTTCCACAAAATGATTAGGGAGTTTCAATTTCCTTAAGCATCTCCTTAGGAATTGGGAACTAACTCTGTAACAAGCTTTTTCGAGATCAATCTTGATTATCAGGAATCAAAACGTTTTAATTTGTATAATCAATATCAATAGCAAATATGGAATATGTATGTGTTTTTAAAATTGTTATTCATAATTCCTAGCAAAAAATATTGTTATTCATAATTGTAAATTTGTGATTCCGAGTCATACAGAGATATTTCTCATCTGGAAAATTGTTTGTCCATTTTATCCTCTTTCTCATTCCATTTCATTCTATAACTAGCCTATCACCATGTTTTTGGTTTGAGTAAAGGCTAACCTTTTTTGGGCAGAATTACAAAAGAACGGGAGCATATTAAGACGATTACTCGCAAAGTCTCTGCCGAGATTAATCACACTCATTTAAATGTTACCAATTATCCAGTTGGTCTTGGGTTACGAGTGCAAGAAGTAATCTCACTTTTAAATCTTTGGTCCAATGAAGAAGCGGAGATGGTTGGAATTTGTGGCGTTGGTGGAATAGGTAAATCAACAATTGCAAGGGCTGTGTATAATTCAGTTGCTGATAGTTTTGATGGTTTATGTTTTCTTTCTAATGTTAGAGAAATTTCTTACAAGCATGGCTTGTCACATCTTCAAGAGACATTACTTTGTGAATTGGTGGGAGAGAAGGAACTCAAATTGGGTAATTTCTATAAAGGAATTTCAATAATAAAGAATAGGCTCCAAAACAAGAAGATTCTTTTAATTCTTGATGATGTTGACAAAGTGGAGCAATTACGAGCATTAGCTGGAAGCTGTGAATGGTTTGGCCTGGGAAGTAGAATCATTATCACGACAAGGGATAAACAGTTGCTAGCAAGTCGGGGAATCCAAAGAATTTATGATGTCAAGGGGTTAAGTGCTGATGAATCTCTTCAGTTAATTAAAAGGCATGGCTTTAAAGGGCTGACGGGGGATTTAGATCATTACAAGGATGTTCTGAATCGTGCCATAAAATATTCATGTGGCCTTCCATTAGCCTTGGAAATTATTGGCTCTAACTTGTGTGATAAAAGAGTTGATGAATGGACTTCTGCATTAGATGAATATGAAAGAATACCTGATGAAGACGTTTTTAAAGTCCTTAAATTAAGCTATGATGCTTTAAGCAGAGAACAGCATAAGGAAATTTTTCTTGACTTGGCCTGTTTCTTTAATGGTGAGAAGTTGGGAGATGTCGTAAATATGATGATGAGTTTTCGTGGTGTTGAACCAACACATGCCATTAATGTGTTGACGGATAAATCTCTAATAAAGATTAAAGAAGATCGTGTGATAATGCATGACTTGATTGAAGATATGGGTAAAGAAATTGTTCGGCAACAATCACGAAAAGAGCCTGGGAAACGCAACAGGTTATGGTGTTATGAAGACATTCTTGATGTCTTACAAAATAACACGGTGCAAACACAACACAAATGACTTTGTTTAATTCTTACATTTATATGACTTTTGTATACTTAAAATTTGGCATTTATTGTGTGCTTTTCATTTTAAAGGGCACTGATGAAATTGAAGTCATAATTCTTGACTTACCGAAAGATAAAGAAATCCAATGGAATGGCAAGGCATTCAAGAAGATGAAGAAGCTCAAAGTGCTTGTCATAAAGAATGCAAGCTTTTCTGAAGGCATCAAATATCTCCCAAATAGTCTGTGTGTGTTGGAATGGAAGGGGTACCCTTTTAAGTATTTGCCATCTAATTTTCATCCAACAAAAGTCGTCCATCTTGATTTGTCCAATAGTTGTGTAGTGCCTCAACTTTTTGATAAGGTATGCTTATATACGTACTCTTAAAACTAAGCGCTTTTTTTTATTTTCTTTATCTAACTTCTTTTTCCATTTTCAATTTTGCAGAAATTACAGAGTTTAAGTCGCGTGAATATTAGCAACTGTAAAGTCTTGAGCGAAATACAAGACTTGTCAGAAGTCCCTAATTTAACAGAATTGCGGCTTGATGGTTGTATAAACTTAACTAAAATCCATGATTCCCTTGGATTCTTGGGTAAACTCAAAAGATTGAGTGCTATGCGATGCAAAAACTTGAAGACTTTACCCCCTCGTATTAAGCTAACATCCCTTGAACATCTAAATCTCTTTGGCTGCTCGAGCCTTAAAAGTTTTCCTGAGATATCAGACAAGATGGAGAAGTTGAAGACACTTGATTTGGAGAGTACGGCCATTGAGAGTTTGCCATCTTCAATTTGCAACCTCGTTGGACTTGAAAGCTTAAACATGGAAGCGTGTCCTGATCTTAAGCAATTACCAGCTAGTATTTGTATGTTGCCAAACCTATTGGACCTAACAACAAATTTTTGTGAAGAGATAAAGGATTTCGAGAAATGCAATGGTGGAAATAAAGCAAGCTCAGACTGCTCAATCATTTTGACCAAAGGAAAAGAAAAAGAAGACAACTCAACCGTGTCTTTGAGAAAACATTTCGGTTTCTCAAATTGCAACTTAACAAATGACTCTCTTGCTCTCTGTCTCTCTTGTGTTCCTGACATTGTACATTTAGATCTAAGGTTTAATAGCTTCACAACTCTTCCAGCATGCATAGAAGAATGTGAGAATTTAAGATATCTCTTGCTGGATGATTGCGTGCAATTGCAGAAAATTAATAAGATGCCACCAAAATTGGAAACATTCAGCGCCATAGGTTGCACGTCTTTGTCTACGTCATCCAGAAGAAGAGTATTGGATCAGGTCTATCTCCTCTTTTATCTTTTCTTAATGATCTTCCTTGGGTACTTACAGTTTATTTATCATTTTACGGTATTATATGTAATTTGCAGGCATTCTACCTTGGAAATGGGAAAAGAAACTTTGTTTTGCCAGGAAAAAGAATCCCTGAATGGCTTGAATATTATAGTCGAGGAAGCTCCATGTCTTTTTGGATTCGTGATAAGTTCCCAAAAGTTGCTCTTTGGTTTCTTGTTGAAAATGACCAAGTTTATCCTTACAGATGTATATTCTCAGTGCACATTAATGACACCACGTTAGATATTTCTTCAGAGTGGCTTTTACTGTCAACTATAGTGCCTAATCATATATACATATGTGATATGGGAAGCATAATTAAGAACGTTGAACTCCCTCTTGCAAATAGATGGAATCATGTGAGGGTTTCAATCCAGGGCAATGCACGAGAAATACAATTGGAAAAGGAAATTTCTATGGCTATTCATGTGTACGGGCGACAAAATGACTTGGAAGATATCCGATTCAGGGACCCGAGAACACCCCTCGATTGCAACTCATGGCAAAAAGTACAAAAACCACCTCGAGATTGGGAAGAACTTGAAGATGAAATGAATGAGGATTCAAATTCAACAAAAGTCGCAGAGTCAGTCCAAAAAATCACACATTATCAAGGTATGCCCCACTTTTCTTGCATTTTGTGTTAGCACAATACTACTTCTGATTTTTAACATAAGACCTAATTGACTAATTCGGGGGAGATTAAGAAAATTATTAAATTACTTAATTATAATATATATTACATGGTCTTATGTCTAAAATACTTATGTATATTATTAGGTTATATATCAATTTACAAGTGAATTAAATTAGTTTTGAAAAAAATAATAAATATAAATACTTTAAAAACTAATTTAGTAATTTTTTTAATCTCTCCAAATTAATCAACTAGGTCATATATTAAGTATCGGAAGTAATATATTCTTTTCAATATGAATACGTAAGTTATTTTCCATGATTGGTGTGCTCTGGCCAACTTTAGTTAAAGGAGTGGGGTATATGAATTCTCCAGAGACTTGAGAAGAGTATTCAACACATTCACAGGACTCAATTATAAATGAATATTTTATTCAGGACTTATACGTAATTTTCCACAAATTCTTTGAAGCTAAGCAGGTGGTTTATAAAAAGCGTTAATGTTTGCCACTAGAATAGCTACTATTTTGATACTATCAACGAGTTGGTCCAGATTTTGAACTAGTTGTCGGTTATGGTAAAACAGTGATGAATCTGTGGCCAATGATTTCTTAATTTTCTCAAAATATTTTTTTTTCACTTGTAAAAATATTTTGAGCATTTTGCAGCCCCCCATGCATTTCCCCCCGCAAATTCTTGCTCCGTACGTATCCAGTCCTAAATTCGTCCGTGTTAGGAAAACCATAAAAATTCAAATTTGTGTCAATTTTTTTTATAATAGAAGACTTTCTTGCCAAACGCACCCTGGATAGTGCATCAAGCTTTCGAGTGTTTGAACCCGATGATCTGAACGGGGATCTTGACTTCACTTGAGGATGTAAATCCTTAATCGTATAGTAGTCTTGCCTTTCCTTTCCGTTGTATCCAAAAAACAAATATATATGTGCGCGTCTGTGTCTGTGTGTGTGTATATACGTATGTATGACCATATGTGTGTGTTTGGGTATCAGTCAACTTCTTCCTACTGCCAACTTTAATTGATTATAATTAATCAATTAATAGTCGGATTCTCTCAAGTTCGTCCTCACTTTTCCTTTGGTCTATTAGATTAAATTTGAGCAAAGAAAAATCCCATAAAAAATTACCTAAATATTATTAAGTGTCAAATTAAGATTTTTATATTTTGACATGTTATCTAGGCTTGATTTGCAAATTACATTTTATTTTTCCAAGAATTCTTGATTTAGAATTTAATAATTTTCAATTTTTTTAGGATGTTCTCCTCAAACAATTTAGATTTAGCACTTTATAAAACAATATGTTATTTTTTTCTTTTGTAGTTTTATATTGTCCAAATCAAATTTGACTTCAAGGTAAAAAAAAAATTCAAATTTAACTTCCTTTCAATTTATTTCCTTTGGTTTCTAGCAGAAGCAGAACCCATGGCTGCTGAGCTTGTGGGTGGAGCATTTGATTGGCCGGCGCAAGGAGCAGGATCTTCTTCTGTCACCTACAGATGGAGATATGATGTGTTTTTTAGCTTTCAAGGGGCAGATACTTGCATGAATTTTGTCAGTCATCTCCACGAGTCTTTTCGTCGAAGTGGGATTCGTGTCTTCAGTGATTATGAATCCCTCATTGCCGGCAAAGACATCCAACGGTCTCTTTTCGAAGCCATCAAGGAATCCAGGATAGCCATTGTAGTTTTCTCTGAAAACTATGCAACCTCAGCCTTCTCTCTGGATGAACTTTTCCTGATTATTGATGGTTTCAGAGAAGAAAGTCGTTTGGTGTTGCCAGTGTTTTATTATGTGGATCCCTCACATGTTCGACATCAGACATGGAGTTACGGAGATGCTTTGGCTGATCTGCAGAGCAGACCAGGATTAAAGGATGAGAGGTTGCAGAAGTGGAGGTGGGCTTTATCTCAGGCAGCTAACGTGGAAGGCTGGCATTTCCACGCTGGGTATCCCCTCTTTTTCTTATTGTTATTTTCCGTCCAATTTTTTAGATTTTTATAGTAAGTAATATATTTTCTTATAACTGCAACCCAAGTTAAAAATGTGCTCCTTACAAAATATGCTTATTTTTAATTATTTATATTAGAAATGAGCTTGTGCCTTACAACTACGAGGGAGGACGGCGAAAACGTTTTAATTTCTGGATGATATGGAACTATGTTTTATATCTTTAAACTTATTATTCATAATTGTGGATTTGTGTATCTGAAAAATTGTTTATTTATTTTATCCTCATTCTCATTCCATTTCATTCTATAATTGGCCCACCAATATATTTTTGGTTTGAACAAAGGATAAACTTTTATGGGCAGGATTATTGAAGAACAAGAGCTTATTAAAACGATTACTCGTGATGTCTCTGCCATGATTAATCGCACTCTTTTCTAAGTTGCCGATTATCCAGTTGCCCTTGAGTCTCGGAGAAAAGAAGTAATCTCACTTCTAGATCTTGAGTCCAACAAAAACCCGCTGATGATTGGAATTTGTGGCATTGGAGGGGTAGGTAAATCAACAATTGCAAGAGCTGTGTATAACTCAATTGCTGATAATTTTGATGGTTTATGTTTTCTTTCAAGTGTTAGAGAAATTTCTAACAAGCATGGCTTGTCCCACCTTCAAGAGACATTACTCTATAAATTGGTGGGGGAGAAGGAACTCAAATTGGGTAATTTCCATGAAGGAATTTCAATAATAAAAAATAGGCTCCGAAACAAGAAGATTCTTTTAATTCTTGATGATGTTGACAAAGTGGAGCAATTACAAGCATTAGCTGGAAGCAGTGAGTGGTTTGGCCTTGGAAGTAGAATCATTATCACAACAAGAGATAAACAGTTGTTAGCAAGTCGGGGAATTCAAAGAATTTATGTTGTCAAGGGATTAAATGCTGATGTGAACACTGAACAGGAACCAGTGAAAACTGAAGATGGAACCCAGGAGCCTTCTGTCAGTAAGAGGAAAGGGAAGGAGAAGAATGAAGAGGATGCAGATGCAGTTCAGGATGATGATAATGGAGTTGAGGGAAAGGAAAAGAAGAAGAAAAGGAAGGAATCTAGAGAGAATGGTGAGTTGAATGGAGACAATGATGCGGATGTGGGAGAAAAGAAGAAAAAGAGGAAAAAGCATGCTGAGCAAGAAGAATCAGCCGAAATGGCCAAGAAAAAGAAAAACAAAAAGAAGAAAGTAGAGGATCAATAGGGATTGAATTTGTCGTTATCAGCTAAATCATCTGCTGGTAACAATCAGTTTTGGATATCTCAGGCAACTTGGTGCTTAATTTTATACAAATATATCCTGATGTCTAATTGTTTGTTTTCTCTTCTAATGGAGTATGTTGTATTTCAGGAAATTTTGATGCTGTGATATTTGTGCATGTTAAAGATGCTTCTGGTTCTAAACTTCCAGATTTTTCAATTTTTTCTTTCATAATCACGGCACATGATTCTGCTAACATGTTGAGCATGTAACTTTTCATTCATGTTGATGCAAAGATTACTGAGGTGATCTATCTGTTAAAAATGCTGATCGCCTACTCAATTTCTAATCTCTGTCATGCCTGCTTCGGAATATTAAAAGTTGATTCTGCCCACTTATATAAACACTTATAACCATATTTTGCGTAAGTTGAGACAATTTTTTTATATACTTATATTGTACATTATAAACCACGGTTGAAAAGTCATTTATAAGACATTTCAAATAAGCTTTGAGATATATGTATGGTGTATGTTTTTTGATTGGAGTGGTATGTCTTTTCATTTAAAGTTTACCCAACCAAGCTGGGCGTTTGTTTTGTGGGGTGTCAGCGTCTGTGTGTCACTTTTCTACCCTTCCAACATCTTTGCTTTGAAACTGTTAGGTCGGAATATACAGGAGGAAATTCAGAGTAAAGACTAGACAAGCTAGAGTTTCAAATAGCATTACAAAGTTAAATTTAATTATATAAAATAATTATTTTTCTGCCAGTACAAAGTAACACTTGATCAATGTTATAAAAATCGTGGCTTACAAGCAGGCCCACTGACTACTTTCTGGTTAACTCGGACATGAAAATGGAGATGCATGGACTCATATTGAACTTGAATCAAATAAAATTAAAATAAAAAAAATTATGAAAAGAAGCTTAAAATTATTAAATTTCAAATGAAGAATTTCTACAAAATGTGTTTTTATTTATAAATACAGTGTTATTAAAACCTATTAAAGTATGTAAAAATAGTTTTATTTGGACTTATGTGAATAGTTTTTTTTCTCCAAATCATTGTAATGGGTTACCAAGCTCGCAAAATCAAATCAAAATATATACATGAAGTGGCGGGTTTCTTCATCAATTGGCAGCTACTGGTAAGGTTTTACGGGTCCTTTCGTCATTTTAAGTCATCAGTTCAGTCTTTTTTAATTTTTATTTTGAGAAATTCTTCTACTGACATTCGATTTGTAATTACTATATTACTTATTATAATAATCAGGAGTAATTTTTGAAAAAAATTAAACTATCTAAATTATCAGCGTCGAAATTAAAATCTAGTGACCGTGATAAAAGTAAGTGCAAGGAATCATTATCCGTGCAGTTCATTTTGGGATGTGTAAAATACATGGGGTCATTTCTATAAAAAAAAAAAAAATACAAGGGGTCTCCTACAATGAGATTTTTGACATAATAATGAGATCTTCTTTTGCTGTTGTATGATTCATTTGTTCAATACAATAATATAGCAAGTTTAAATTATGTTATTTTGTATTATTTAAATTGATTTATTAGTATGTCCTAAAATATTTGTTGGAGAATCATATTTATTTTGAATTATATTATAAAATTTTATTTTGAGTTTTGATCACATTTATTAAACTTATTTTATGTGATAAATAAATTTGGAGCCTTTTTTAAATAATTAACCAATACCTTCATATATGAGCTTCATAAAAATTTCTATATTGAATAGGATCAACATAGGATATGGGTTAATATATAAATTTGTTTTAAAAATTTTTATTCAGGAGTATTGGGCGCTTGAAATTTTTTTGGGGCACAAATTTATTCCAAAAATTTATAATCGTAACAATATTACCTATATTATTGAAAATGTTGATGAAAGAGTTCACTTATATGATTTAACATGTTAATATTTAATTTTTCCCAGTAAATTATAAGAAAATGGCTCGTGAAAAATCTTAAAATTGCTAAATCCCAAAATGAGTACATAAAAAATGGGGCAACAAATCACTAAGTGGCATTTTAAAATGGAAAAATGACAATAAAATACCTTCTGGATTTCAAAATGACAAATAAGGCATCCAAATAAACAAAATGACAAAAAAGGCATCAGGTACCAATCTGGAATTTTGATTTTTGGCTTCAAAACATGTTGCAAAACCCATTGACAAAGTAAATCCCACTATGTGTTTTATAAAATTCAACGTGGAATTGTATTGTTTTTACAGAAAAGTTGCCCAACCCCTCAAAATAGGTTGCAAAACTCATTGACTAAGTAGTGAATCTCACTATGAAAGTTATAAATCCCACTGTGTGTTTGTAAAATTCGGCGTGGAATTATATTTTTTTCCACAGAAAACTTGCCCAGCCCTTCAAAACAGGTTGGTAATAACTCTCACTATAAAAGCTGTAAATCCCACCATGTGTTTTGTAAAATTCAAAAACAAAATTTTAGATTGATACCTGATGCCTTATTTATCATTTTGTTTAGTCAGACGCCTTATTTATTATTTTAAAATTCAGAAAGTATTTTATTGTCATTTTTCTTTTTAAAATTCAAGTGAAAAGACAGAATGCCGCCATTTATATCAAACCTCTCATCGATAAGCTGCCAATGTCAAAGCTCCAGGACCGGGAACAGGAATTTTTTATTTTTATTTTTATTTAATCAATGAAGGTGGAATTTGATTCCAATGCCACTTGGATATCTTGAAATTAAAGATAACCGATAAACTACAAATATTTTTGTTATTAAAATAATGCAAAATAATACACATGCGTTACTTAACTTTGAGTATATGTTATTCGCAGCTTCTATATAGATATTAATTATATTTTATTAACTATTAATAACTTTTATTTAGCAAATAACAATGCCACTCTTTCATTTCATTCATAATTTTTGCATAGGTGTTAACTACATCATTAGTTATTAACAATTTTTTATTTAGCAAATAACAATGTTACTCTTTCTTTTAGTAACTTTTGTTTAGAACACCTTATTACTTGTTAAACAAAAGTTATTAATAACCAATGAAATACACTCAACACTTATATTTTATTTTCTTTTTTTTGGCCAACCAGTTAATACCCAGAAAAAAATTGTGAATAAGTTGAAAGAGTAGTCTTGTTACTTACTAAATAAAAATCGTTAATAATTAATAAATGTACTCAATACCTATATAAAATTTGTGAATTGTATGAATTCAAATTAGTTAACATATATGTTATTTTGCATCCTTTGATAACAACTTTAATGGCTGAATCTTAATTTTAATAGCAACTGTAACCCGCTTGCCGATGGAGCTATGGACTATGGTTTCTGAGATTTAGTACTAGTCATTTTCCCTAAATTTAATTTTGCAATCATATTTTTTGTGCCGGTAATCTTATTTTGTTTTAATAACTGATAAATGATTGACATATTTAGGTCAATCTTCGAAATTTATTTGTGTACTTGTTTTGAAAGATGATAATGCTTACTCTTCTTGTCCTATTTATAGGGCAGAAAGAAAGGATATTTTTTAGTCCTATTTATAGGATAGTGAGAAAAACTTTTTGTATGAATGTACAATTTTACCTTTCATTTATTATTATGTTGACTATGTTTATATGAGGTATAGTGTATATTAAATAAAGATAAAATTAAAAAGTTTTTAAATTTTAAATAAGAATTAATGAAATTTAAAGTTTTTTTTAGTTTATGTAAAACATGTTGTAAGTAACTTATAAATAGGACTAGGAAATATATCTCAACCCAACAATATCATCCCGAGCAAATCAATAAAGTTTTGCTGACTTCGCAGTGCACTCGTTATTACAAGATATGAGATTTTGTCTCTCACTCCACCTCCTCTCCTCTGATCGTATGCAAGAAACATGGCTGCTGAAATTGTGGGTGGAGCATTTCTCTCTGCTGCTCTTCAAGTCACTTTTCAAAGGCTGGCTTCTTCTGACATCACCCACCACTTTCGATCAAGAAACCTCGAAGATAGCTTGCTTAAGAAGCTTCACATCACCCTCATTTCTGTGAATCAAGTGCTTGATGATAAAGAAGCAAGGTAGTACACAATCCCAAATGTGAACAAGTGGCTTCACGAGCTCAAACATTCGGTGTATGTCATGGATGACCTCTTAGATGAGATTGCTACTGAGGCAACCAGGTTGCAGATTGAAACTGAGAATCAATCTGCTACCAGCAAGGTACGAGGCATCTTTACTTCTTTTGTTAATCAATTTGAAAAACACATCGAAGAAAGAATCCAGGAAGTGCTTGATGAACTGGAGTTCCTTGCAAAACAAAAGGATGCTCTGGGATTGAAGAAAGGCTCTGGTATTGGTAGTCAAGCTAGAGTTGGTGTTAAACTATCCGCCAGACTGCCAACCACATCTTTGGTGGTTGGTGAGTCCAGTATATATGGTAGAGATAGTGACAGAGAAAAAATAATTGAGCTTTTACTTGATGAGGATCTGAGTATGAACCCACTATCTGTGATTTCTGTAGTGGGTATGGGTGGACTGGGTAAGACCACTCTTACTCAGCTAGTGTACAACGATGTAAGGAAAGAGGATCAGTTCCAACTCAAAGCTTGGGTATGTATTTCAGAAGAATTTGATGTTGTTAGAATCACAAAAACAATACTTTCCGCACTTGGATGTTTCATAACTGGATATGAAGACCTAAATCAGCTTCAGCTGAAATTGAAGGAGAAATTGGTGGGGAGGAAATTTTGTCTAGTTCTTGATGATATTTGGAATGAGCGCCAATCTGATTGGGAAGCTCTGCAAGTTCCTTTTTTCTATGGGACATTAGGAAGTAAGATCATTGTTACAACGCGTAGTGAAAAAGTAGCGTTAGTTGTCTGCTTTAGTAGAGTGTACCGCCTGGCCTTGTTAAATGAAGAAGATGGTTGGGAATTATTTGCAGAATATGCATTTAGAAATAAGGATGACAGCATGAGGACAGACCTTGAGTCAATAGGTAAAAAGATTGTCCACAAGTGCAAAGGGTTGCCTTTAGCCGTAAAAACATTGGGTGGGCTCTTGCACACGAAATCATCAGAGAAACAATGGAATGAAATCCTTAATTGGGAGATATGGCAGTTGTCAGATGATGAGAGTGATATAATGCCAGCTTTAAGATTAAGCTACCATTACCTTCCTTCTTATTTAAAACGGTGTTTTGCATTTTGTTCTATATTTCCAAAAGACTATCAAATTGAGAAGGACTCTCTAATCCTCATGTGGATGGCCGAAGATTTGTTGCATTGCCATCAAGGAAATAAAAATGTGGAAGAAATGGGAAGTCAAATCTTGGCTGAACTAGAATCAAGGTCATTTCTCCAAAAGTCAACAACGCATAATAGGTATATCATGCATGATCTCGTAAATGATCTTGCTAAATCAATATCTGGAGAGTTTTGTTTAAGGATTGAGGATGGTAACGTGCAAAACATTCATAAGAATGTTCGCTACTGTTCATACTCAGCTTCATGTGATAGCAGTGAAATATTACTAGAGCCTTTTCATGAGTGTAAACAATTACGATGTTTCGTGTCATTAAAACGAGTACCATTCTCCGTTAAGGAGGGTAAGGATGAAGGTGAAATATTATCCAAATTTAAGCACTTGAGAATTTTGAGTTTGAGAAGCATTAAAACTATTACTAAATTAAGTGTTGGCATGAACAACTCAAAGCACCTCCGTTATTTAGACCTTTCTGACACCAGATTTGATCAAGTACCAGATTCAATTTGTAAAATGTACAATTTGCAAACTTTGAAATTGTGTGGGTGCACTCAGCTTGTTGAGTTACCTCCGGAATTGGACAAGTTGGTGAATCTGCATTATCTAGACCTTTCTAAAGCTATGATCAGCAAGTTACCCGATTCACCCTGTAAACTGCCTAATTTGCAAACATTGAAATTGCAGGCGTGTCAATCTTTGGTTGAGTTGCCACCGGATTTGCACAACCTTATCAATCTTTGTCACCTTGATATAAGTTGGAGTAGTATAAGGGAGATGCCAAACAACATGGGAAGGTTAAAACATCTTCAAATATTGACTGGTTTTTATGTGGGAAGACACAATTGGTCTAATTTGAAGGAGTTAGGGAAACTCATTTATCTTCGAGGCAGTATTGAGGTCTCAAAATTAGAAAATGTCAATGATCCAATAGTTGCTAGGGAGGCCTGTATGAAGGATAAGAAGTACTTATATAAATTGGGACTGCAATGGAGTGGAAACAATGAGGATTCACAGAATGAAAGATTCACCTTGGAAGGTCTCCAGCCTCATGTGAACTTGAAAGAGCTCACTATTAGAAACTATGGTGGCACAAGATTTCCAGATTGGTTTGATGCTCCTTATTTGCCTAATTTAGTATCTCTTGTGTTGCGGGCATGTGAATATTGTTTTTGTTTGCCATCACTTGGGCAACTACCCTCTCTCAAGTCGGTTCATATTTCTAAATTAGAGGGAATAAAGAAGATTGGGTTAGAGTTTTATGGGAATAATAATTTGTCATGGGCTCCATTCCCATCTCTTGTAAATTTGTTTATTGCTGAAATGATGGAATGGGAAGAATGGATGCATTTTGAAGGTGAATGCTTCCCCTGCCTTAAAGAGATTGTTATAAGATATTGTCCCAGGTTAAGAAGGTCACTTCCTCCAGACCTGCCATGTTTAGAAAAGCTAGAGATTGAACAATGTGGAGATTTGGAGCTTGAATCATTCCCTACCAAAGCATTCTCTACTCCTAAACTTGAATCCATCCATCTTTCTGGCTTGACCCATCTGAAGTCACTTCATGAAGACATGCGTACACTCCTTCCTTATGTCCATTCTCTATCACTGTTTTGCTGCCCACAGCTGCACTTGGTTCCTCAGAAAGGATTGCCTCTGAGCATTGTCCAAATTTCAATCCATAATTGTCCCAAACTTTTTGCTTCTCGCATGAACTGGGGCTTGAGTAGACTTCATTCTCTCCAAAAGTTCTCTATTGGTGGAAGTTTTGAAAATGTGGAGTCTTTCCCAGAAGAGGGATTGCTGCCACCCAATCTCAAAGTTCTTAGATTTGAAGGGTGTTCAGATTTGGTCAAACTAAATAGCAGTGGCTTTCTCCCTCTCACATCTCTTCAATGCTTACAACTCTATAATTGCCCAAATCTCCAATGCTTGCCAGAGGAAAGTTTATCGAGGTCCCTTTCCCATTTATTTATTAATGGGAATTGTCCATTTTTGAGACAACGGTACCAAAAGAATGGACAAGAGTGGCATAAAATTTCGCACATCCCTTGGCTCTGTATTAGCTAAAACTTCGTTCCAGGAGTTCTGTATGCTTCTAAAGCCCTTATAGATACTTCTTTTACATTATACTATTATCCAGTTTCATTTATTAAGTTTTCACTTTTTTTCATGTAAAGGCATCCTTTTTTTTTCCCCCTAGTTTTTTACATGATTAATTATGATGCGATCTCATTCTTTTATTTTTCTCCTTGTGCAGAAATGCTAAGCCAAATATAATGGATCTGATCTCATCCTCACCTAAAATCTTGTGCGCAGAACCACATGCTTGAAGCTTCCACCATCCACTCACGTATAATATTCTCTCTTAGCCCTCTGCAGCACCTTGTGTTGTTAATCTTAGTCATTGTCTTCGTCTTCCTCAGCATCTGATGGCATTTCTGTAGAAAAGTTGTCAAAAGTACAGATGAACAATATTGCTCTTACTTGGTGGTTATCTACTTCAGTTTGGTCCTTCTTCAGCTCTTCAACATGAGAGCAAGAAAGGAGGACCCATCATTTTCCATCAGAGGGGTGCGATTGCTCCTCTGTGCTCTTTCTCATTATTGTTATGTAAGAGTATTCCTTTCTTGAAAATGAAATTTTTCTCCGTTTGGTTTACTTTTCTTGAGTTCTGATTTCTGAGATAAAATTATTTCTAGTTTGAAGAATTTGATAGTAAATACTGGAAACCTATGATTTTTGTTTTCATTTATCAGAGAATAAAAATCTTCCAATCTGTGATAAGGATATTGTGACTATTGCAAGTATATGAATTTGCTAAATGAAAATTAAAACCTGACTAACACAGTACAGGGCTAAAATGAATAGGGAATAAACACAGTTGCCTAACATATTGAAATTTCACCTTCAATCATGCCTGCGGATTGAATCATGATCAATCACCATAGAAAATTTTGCTCTTTGATTTTTCTTTTTGTTTGGTAATCCGTTGGAGGGTGTGGGAAATTTTGCATATTTTCTTTCATTCCTTGCACTGGCTTTTGAAAACGCGTGAAAGTGATTAATCAATTGACCTTGATGTTTTGCTTATTGCAGGTAGCTTATGGTCCCCATCCTGTTTAGAATTTGGTTGGTCATATTGCACTCTGGCATTCATTCTATCTGTGAAGGAAGATGATATCATATGGCACAAATCAAGGTTTTTGTGATATCAATTAAATAAATGATCAATTACCTTCAAAAGTTTCTCTTCTTCTAGCCTCCAGTTTGTTTCTTCAAATGAAGCTTAGCTGATAAACCTTTTAATTTAATTATAGCTGCGATTAAACCCTACTTCTTTTATATCATACGTTTACTTCTATTTTATTTTATCTTATTTTTGGGTTTGAATCTGAGGTAAAACCACATAGCTGGTCAATCAATGTTGGAACAGGTGAAAAACTGGCTCATGGCACTCAAAATATTGAAATTTGTGAATTAGTTGCTCGTGATCAGAGGTCCTATAGTGCTTTTTGTCTCCTGTGGCTTGGTTTCTTTAACAGTGGTATATATTCCACAACATTGCGAAAAGAAATGGATAACCAATGTATGCCAATAAAGTAATTCCCAGTAGTATGGCCCAAAAGCGTGAAGCTAAAATGATTATATTGTTCTATATGAATCTTTCCTGAAAAAAGTTCTATTGCTTTCCGTAATTCTTCATGAAATGTCGTCATGCTAAAACTGATATCTGGGCTTTTAGGATTCGTTCATTTTTCATGAGGTCTGCATTTACGGAAAAAGTCACAGTTCAATGGTGAAGACCCTGTATTTGTCTGCCAACATACAAAATTTTTTAACTTGATTCCTGAGCTTGGGTGGCTTTTATCTTAATGTCTCCAAATCCATTACAAATAAATTTTGTAGAAATTAAAAACCCAATATTTAACCGATACGTGCCTATGAAGTTTTTCCCAATGGTAATGTATGAAAGTATGAAACTAAGCTAAATTACATTATTCTATATGACTGATTCCTGTAAAGAATTTCGTTACTTCTCACAATTCCTCATGCTGGGCCATTGGGATTCATTCATTTTCATCATGTCTGCATTTGTTTTATTAGTCTCGTAATATTTCCATGGGTTGATTCTCAATTCTGGATGGCCTTCATCTTGATGTCTTCAATTTGGATGATAAAACCTTTATCTTGAACCAAAAATCTTCATGTAATTCTTGACACTATATATTCTCAAACAAGAGGCTTCATTATGTAATTTATTGAACTGAAAATCTTCATTCCTGGCTTTCAAGTTCTACGCTGTGGTACTAAACCATCTCTTCATCTGCTAATTTTCCAGCAGTTGGAAATGTTGAAGAACAATGCTACTTGTAATCAGAGCAGAATTATGCTCCATGCTGCAACGGCCAACAAATGTAGTAGTCCCGCCTTTCCTTTCAGTACTACTTGTACTGATGCTGAGAAATTGGGCATTGTGAGGTCCAATAATAGGCCCTGAAGGATGGAGAATCATGGAGTTTGTAGCATACGAGCTATGTGATGCACAGTGTGCCTTTTGTGCAATCTGATGATTATTGTTCGATACTTCGATTGAATTTTTAACGTCAGCCTTATGGTAAGATTTTGGTAATGCAAAAAACAGCAACATGTTCTCTACTTTCTCTTTTTTCTCCATTCCATACTCTGTTTTGCATCAACTTCCCCTATAACGCTCACTAAGTCAGGCACACGTGAAAATTCTTGTGGTAGAACATTAAGAGATTGTAAATTGTTGTATTCTCTCCTCTAAAAGTATCAGAATTGATTCTGCTACTTCAGAACCAGCTGGGATTTATACTTGTTGGTCAGTTTGAAACAAGAACCAAACAACTGGTGAATTAATTGAGAATAAATGGTCTTTTGCGGCATGCTCTGTTACGTGTTCATTAATCATTTGTTCTGTTTGCCGAAAAATATAATCCACGGCAAAGCTTGTTCCTTCCTTAGCTTCTCCTATAACAAGGTGGCTTTTTATTTTGTATGCCTCTTTAAAAAATTGTTTTGATTTAAATGATTGTTTGCACATTTTTTTATTAGAAAAAAATTAAATAATTACATTTGTATTATCGGTGATTACAAATATTTTTTAAAAAAATTATTATTTTATCAAATATTTTTCTTAATTGTTTTTATGTGTTTTCCTCGTACTTTTTATTTTTTTATTTGTAAATAAAGGTGATTGTTTATTGTTATTTCATTAGTTGGCATTCAAAATGGATTATTTTATTATTTTATTTTCTATCAGATAATTATAAATTATTTTTTATTTTAAATTGGTCGTTTTGCATGTTATAGTCATTTAATAAATTTTTATTTTTCCCCAGTCGTTCGTTCAACTAAGAAAAAACTTTTCATGTCACATCAAGTATTTTTTTTTTTGATGAATCACATCAATTATAATTTTAAACTGTAAAGTTTCAGTTGCTCTCATCTCTTTTTTATTTTTATCAATGTGCTTTCAATCATCAAAAACATGACTTAACCTGTTACATGGAAAAACCAACGAATTATATGCATGAATTTGAAAATTATGTTTGCTTAAAAAATATCTAAACATCGCAACGTAAAGTTGATAATATAGTTGAGCAGTGCGTTTTACCACCTCTACTCATATACAGCAAAAATAATTATGAACTCAAAACCAAAAAGTTCAAACATCTATTAGGAGAAATGTTCATATTTAATACTCAATAATGCTTTAAATATGATTGCCTCAAGAAGGAAAAAACCTGTGCTTGCTGAAAAAAAACTTGATCTCAATTGACACTATCCTGCAACGCTATAGTACTCAGTGCATTTATGGGTGAAATATTTCTACGAGCTAGCACAATGGATCTTGGTAATACTGAGAAAGAAGATTCGCCTTAGCAGGAGAGTCTACAAAACCGGGGATGTATAATAACTTGTTTTTCATGTTTGTAAAATTTTTTGTTATTTTCCTCGTTAGTCGTATCAACTTATCTAATAGGTATACTTCTCGGCGTCTATATTCGTGGGATGAATTAGGTTACTCATGCCCATCATCAAGAATAGAGCCGCAGAAATATTGTACACGAAAAAAATAAATAAATAAAAGGAGAAACTTATAAGACTAAGATGAAATGTCTTGAGAATAGTCTCGTCTCATATTGAAATGATTGGGTTTGACACGGATATCAGACTAGACACCCCTAATTTTAAATTCATAATTGATTTTGTCATATTCAAGGGTGTTTTATTTTGGGGTCATAATTGATTTTAAAATGTATAACTATATTTGAATATTTTTTCAAGAAATTCATGGTTTTCACACTTATAATTATAGAGAACTTCTATCTATTAACAGCTATCCTTTTATGAGCATTCTTAAAATCATGGAGAACTATAGAAAGTGCCACGTGACAAGATAAGGATCATTCCATTCAGAACTTAGAAGTACCTAATTTGTTCGGATTTGTCCTAATGAATTTGGTTCTCATAGTAACATAAGACATCCTAATGCAAAGGAAATACTCCTCCGATCCTTAATATAAGACCCACTTAACTAATTTGATTAGATTAAGAAAGTTAGGTAAGTTAGTTAATTATAAGAAAAGTGACATATTTTTCCTAAAATACTATAATCATCTTTCTTAATACCCCTCTCCTTCTTCCATTTGATTATGGTTGAGGGAGTATACATAGGGGTAATTTAGAGAAAATTGATAAATATGAGAAATGGTTATTATATTTAGGACTAAAATCAACTCAAGAATTGAGTCTTATGTTAAAGACCAGAGGAGTATTAAACTACGCAACGACAGGTTTCAAAGGACTCAAGGTGCCCACATTGTTGATCTAGGACCACTTGTCATTTCTTTTCTTATCATTTTATATCTTATTCCACTATTTCTCTACTTCCAATTATCTATAACATCAAATCCATCAATTAATTAAACTTCTCTCTCTATTTCTCTTGCCAACAATTAGTTAATAAGCTTCTCTAGAATTCTATATACTTTCTAAAATTAAATACTAAAGTCACTTAAATCCTATAAATAAAAATTAAG